TTATGCATTGGCATCTCAGTTCACAGGTTTGATTATGCATTCGTTACTTCGTACAGGGCTAGAAGAACAGGATAACAGAGCCATAATTATGTTATCTTTCAAGTTCTGCAAGTTCAGTCTTGGTGTAATTGCCTCTCAGTTCACAGGTTTGCCCTCCTCTTGCTCTTCTATTATGATTAGTTTGAGATTCGGAGTAGAGAATTGTGTTTCATGATGGTCATTAGCATACCAATACCTTACTGAGATCGTCCAGGACACAACCACAACAACAACTCCTTCAAGTATCTAAGAGAGAAACTTGAAAACCATAGGGAAACCACACCAAGTCTTTATCAACAGGACAGTAGAATCCAAACTGGAAAATAAAGGAGGCAAAAATAGAGGGATGAAATGAACTTAAGGGTTTATTTAGTTGCAAGTTAGAGCTAGATTAAGATTTTAAATTAGCTACCGAGCTACAATCTCAGGGTTTATTTAGTTGGCTTACCTTCAAAACTGTCGTTCAATGAATCGGCTGAGTGAGCGCTGCCGGGATACTGAACGATTTCGGCGGTCAAGACTCAAGGCGGAGGGCTGGAGAGAGGTGGAGACTCGTATTGACAACGGCGGAGGACGGAGAGAGGGAGGCTCGGATTGACTGGTAGAAAAATTCAGAGGACCGTTGGCGGTGAAGACGGAGGACGGAGAGAGGAGGAGGCTTGGATAGACACCGGCGGAGGACGGAGAGAGGGAGGCTCAGATTGACTGGGAGAAAATTCAGCAGGCTCGTTGCCGATGAAGACGGAGGAAGGAGAGAGGAGGCGGCTCGGATTGACAACGGCGGAGGCAGGCTCAGATTGACTGGGAGAAAAAATCAGCAATGGGGCTCCTGATTGACAACCTTCAAAGGAGAGAGGAGGAGGCTCGGATTGACAACCTTCAAAACTGCCGTTCCGAAACTACCCTCCGACAAACACTCTGGAGGCCAGGATTTTGAAATGGGGATTCTGTTTTTTGCTTCAACGTATTATAGTATGTGTTGATTTAACATACAACTTATTAACTTTCTTTTCATCTGGTCAATTATGTTTTTTTTTGTCAAAAGATATCATATATTGATCCAAAATAGATAGTTACAACCTGGACACCAGCCAGGATCGGAAATCAAAGAAGCGACTCACAGTCGGATACAAGGAAAGGGCTTTTCTAGCTACCGAATGAGCTACCCTATTGTTCTGCCGACCTATAAATCGCACATTAAACCCAGGATGGGCGCAATGATAAAGACCTATCTCTTCCAGGACAACACCCAACCGGTTATCCCTAGTGTCAGCTTGATTAATTTTCTTAATAATCACTTTGGCATCGCCCTCAACCAGACTGCCGACAAGCCACACTCCGAACACCAAATAATCGCCTCCCTAAGCACAAGCAATTCCACCACAGAAGGCTCATCCACTTGAGGAAACTGAACCCCCTTCGCCAAAAGGAGCGTCTGCGCCGAGTCAAAAAGAACCATCCCACCAGCCGAATGCGACCCACTCCTAGTGGCCCCATCCCACATGCAAACCAACCGAGAGTCAACCTAATGAGTTACCGGCTGTACCCGCGGAGTAGACCCCCTAGGAGGTTGGTCATTTGGCAAGCCCATCCATTCCTCATATTGTTGGTTAAATTGGCGCATAAGAGCAGGGATCCCAAATTGTTTGCCTTCAAAGACAACCCAGTTACGAGACCGCCAGATCCGCCAAAGGATGGAAACTATAGCCATGAACAACGACGGTTGATGGATCAGCGCCAGCAGACGTTTAAGAAATAACGGAAAGGTGTGCCGAGGCAAACCCTCCCCTAAGTATTCCAGCCCTGAATAGTCCCAGAGAGCCCGCGCAACCGGTCAATAAAGGAACAAATGTTCCATCGTCTCCGGGCCATCCCAGCACACTGGACACCGGGGAAGCACATGGACCTTCTTTCCAAGGGCGCCTCAGTAGGAAGAGCTCGATTGAGAATTTGCCAGACAAAGACCTTCAGCTTCGGGGGATCTTAGCCTCCCACAAATGGATCCAACTCGGCTTATCCATCCAACTAACCGAGGATCGCCACCCACCCCTCCTCCTATCCAAACCCACAGCCAAATGGTAAGCTGACTTTACTGAGAAAACTCTGTCCGTCGTGTTATGCCAGATAAGCTTATCAGCCACATTCTGCCGTGGAAGCGGAATAGCTTTAATGGTACGGCAGGTAGACGGATCAAACCATTGACTAAGCTTGTCCTCAGACCAATGCCCTTCCCCTTCACAAATAACCTCCGTCACCGAGGGATCACCCCCGTCAGGCAAGATCATCGGGTTATAGCGAGGAGGATCCAACTGAAGGCCAGGTATCCAGTTAGAGTGGAGAAGGGAGGCCGATCGACCATTGCCGACCTGCCATCTTAACCCTATCTCTAATAACTGGCGCCCATAGAGGATACCCTGCCACCCCCATGAAGGCCGAGATCGAGTTGTCACCCCCAGAAAATTTCCTTGCGGGAAGTACTTCCCTTTATACACCTGGGCAAGAAGGGAAAGAGGTTCATTGAGAATAAGCCAGCCAATCTTTGCTAAAAGGCTTGGTTAAAATGTTCAAACCGGCGAAACCCCATCCCCTCATCATGTTTACTCCTGCACATATTGCGCCAAGATACCCACCTAACCTTTGGATGGCCCTCATCCGCACCCCACCAGAACCGGGCCACATGTCTATCCAAAAGCCGGCAGAGAGAGAGAGAGGGGTAGTCGGAAGCAATAGACTTAATCAATGTTTCCTTTGCCACCTAGGACAGAGTCCTCTGCTTCCAAACTGATTGACTCTCATCTGGCAAATGAATTATTGAGTCAAAAAATTTGGCGACGTGCTCATTGTGAAACACTGTAAGGATGAGTGATCTTATGGGAAGTCACCTTGATACGCACACCAAGGCAAAATTCGTGAGGGCTCGACCCAAAGCGAACAATATCTTGTCGGGAAAAGGTTTGGGTTGTTATAAGTGGTATCAGAGCCTCTCTGCATTCCTCTTGAATGATGGTGGTGCAAATCTCAACGAGAGCGTTGAGTCCCAAAAGGGAGGTGTACGTAACACCTTAAGCGATTCCCACATTGAGAAAGCACATGATAGACCCATGGTTCATAAGTAAGGAATGGGCCTTAACTGAAAAGACTCTAAAGTTAAACGTGCTCGTTGTGAAGCACTGTAAGGATGAGTGATCTTATGGGAAGTCACCTTGATATGCATTCCCAGGCAAAATCCGCAAGGGCTAGACCTAAAGTGGACAATACCTTGTCGGAAAAAGGTTTGGGATGTTATAAGTGGTATTAGAGCCTCTATGCATTCCTCTTAAACGATGGTGGAGCAAACCTCAACGAGAACGTTGAGTCCCAAAGGGAGGTGTACGTAAAACTCTAGGCGATTCCCACATTGAAAAAGTATAGGAGAGATCCATGGTTCATAAGTAAGAAACGACCTTAACTGACAAGACGCGTTTTGTGGTGAAATAGAGGAGTTATTGTGAGAACTCCGAAGTTAAACGTGCTCACTATGTAGCACTACAAGGATAGACGACCTTATGGGAATGAGAAGTCATCTTGATATGTACCCCAAGGCAAAATCCATGAGAATCTGAACCCAAACAAGGATATCTTGTTGGGAAAAGGTTCGGGTTGTTATAGAAAATTTATAGTGGTACACTTCAATGCTCTGATTTTTTATAAGGTGGTGTAATGTTACTGATCCTATAACAATTATCCAACATATACCATATACAATTATCTAACATATACACGCACTCAACAACCATACACACTATTGAATAGGGTTGAAACCATGTCTTAATCGTCACTGATGCTATAACAATTTTGTCTGACCTGCCTCTATAGAGTCAATTTATAAAACTTGCCCACCTCGTCCCTGTTCCTATTTTACTCTGTCTGACCCAATCCTAGAGGGCCGGTCTGTCGACTCAAATCAATCAACACAATATTTTAAAAACATTTATTTTAGTACTCAAATTTATCTTTTTACAATTTATTACCTAAATTTATATTGTTTACAAATAGCTCCATTAAATTTGGTGAAAATTACATTTTAGTACCTCGATATTTACCTTGCATTATACTATCTAAACTTTTAAAACATTACAAACAAGCACAAGGCCAAAAAAATGACCCGACGCTACCCAACCATTACAGAATCTAGAGATGACTAGAATCTAAACTAACCCTATACAAAAGTAAAAAACTGACCCTACCCAATTTTCATGGTCGGGTCGGGCCGGGTCAGGGTCAAGTATTGAACCTCAATCTTGATGAAAAAATAGGGTTAGTCAAGCCTATCCTGGTCAGATGGGTCGGGTCGGGTTTCTTCCCTCACGAGTCTTGTATCAGTAGGTGGGCCTGCACCAACTTTCCTTTAACCTTGTTGGGCTCTTCGATCTGCAGTTCATTTCCTCCGTTAGTCCTGATCCGCCGCGTATCAGACCGGAATCTGATCGACGAGTCGGCCCAATACTCGGCCGAGTACCAGTGATGTTGGGTGCAGCAGATCGAATTTCCCTAACCCCTCTCAGGCAGCGAGGGGTTTTTCGCCGTACGCTTCAACCTCTCAGTCTCAGTCCTCTGACGCCACTCCATCAGTTCCTGAATAAGAAGGTAGAGAGTACAATCTCCGATTTCTTCTCTGCGGAACAGAAATTTCCTCTCCTTTCCAGGTGCGCCGTTACTTCAGTAGGAGCATGTAATGACTGTTGTTCTGCAATTTTACTAATCGAAAGGTTGAATCCGGGAACCAGCTCAAATTTGGAATTAGAATCTTTCGTTTGCGATTGGGCTGCTTGCAAAAATTGATGGGTGTCTCCCTATTAATTTGCATAAGGCTTTTAAAGCTCTCTGCATCGAGGTCTGCCACCAATCTGCAATTTACACTCTTCTCTGTTTCTTCGACTGTGGAGAGTTCTCTGTAACAATGGGTCTAATCTTGTTAAAGGATGAACGTCGTAGCCTTATTTGGTACGAGGTTTGTTCATAGAGTTCCATGTATGGTGGGAGTTTGGAGGAAATTGTGTGACTATAGCTCTGATGGGGATGCGATGATGGATAATGGGTTCCAGTTGATTGAAGAGCCCCTGAAGAGGACGTGGGGGGATTCAGGGCCCGATTCTGGAAGTGAGTTAGAAACCCACATCGAGAGTCGTTGGTCCCAGAGGCAGCGAGGTAGGTTCGAGGCTGAACGTGTGATCGAAGTTCTAAGGCAAGATGGTCCTGGAGTCGACACCAAAGCAGCGTTAACCGAGCTTCACATAAAGGTGTCGTGGATTCTTGTGAGAGAGGTTCTTGTGGGGATTTTGAGGACCATAAGTCCTGACAACAAAGCGAGGTGGGCGAAGTTGGGGTATAAGTTCTTTGTATGGTCTGGTCAGCAGGACAATTACAGGCATTCAGTGAATTCCTACAATTTGATATTGAAGATTTTTGCAGACTGTGATGAGTTCATGGCCATGTGGAGGGTGGTCGAGGAGATGACCGAGAGTGGTTTCCCAACTACGGCACGAACTTTCAACATATTAATTTGTACTTGTGCTGAGGCAGGTTTGGCTCGAAGGGTTGTAGAGAGGTTCATTCAATCAAAGACGTTTAATTACAGGCCGTTCAAGCACTCTTATAATGCAATTATCTACTCGCTTCTGGGAGTTCGTCACTACAGGTTGATTGACTGGGTGCATCAGAAAATGTTGGGCCAGGGTCTTTTCCCGGATGTTCTAACTTATAATGTCATCATGTGTGCAAAGTATCGGTTAGGGGAGTTGGGCCAGGTCTGGAAGGTGGTGGATGAGATGGTGAGGAATGGATATTCACCGGACTTCCATACCTACAACATAATTCTTCATGTTCTTGGTAAAGGTAACAAACCATTAGCTGCACATAAGTTATTGAATCACATGAAGGAAGAGGGTATTGGTCCTTGTGTACTCCACTACACCACGCTAATAGATGGACTGAGTAGGGCTGGGAATTTACAAGCATGTGAAGGGTTTTTGGACGAGATGAAGAAGAATGGATGTCTGCCTGATGTTGTTTGTTATACTGTAATAATCACAGCATATGTAATGGCTGGAGAGTTTGAAAAGTCTCAGGCCATGTTTGATGACATGACCACCAACGGCCAACTGCCAAATGCATTTACTTACAGTTCAATGATTCGTGGGTATTGTATGGCAGGGAAGTACAAGGTGGCGATCTCTATGCTTAATGAGATGGAATCCAAAGGATGTAGTCCGACTTTTCTTGTCTACAGAACTTTAGTTAGCAATTTGAGGAGTGCTGGGAAGTTTCGTGAAGCCCGCAGCATAATTGAGCAGATGGTTGAAAAGGGGCGATATGCCCATCTAGTTCAAAAGATAAGGGGGAACAGGCAAAGCTGAAGTTGCGAGATTTGTGCTTAACCATTGGTTTGCCATGACATTGCTGGCACAGTTGTGAATGATTTGGCTGATCAATTGAAGGCCATGTACACTACTGTGTGGTGTGAGGGCTATACAACAAACCTGCACAGGTGATTATCCTTTTCTTTTATTTCATTTTATGTCGATTTTATTGATTTGTAATGGAATCTCAACTCCAGTGTCGTATTTTTTTTGTGAAACTGCTCTATACAACATTTAAAGGGAACTAGGACAAATAAATGACTGGGTTCTCTGCTCTCACATTGATTCTAAAGTTGCCTGTATCATGTGGTGTTGGCTTGCAATCCCAGAGTTCTATAGATTCGCCATGTCAATTGGCTTTCATTCTTGTCATTTGCTTTCTCTCTGTCTTCTACCTCCATGAGTGGTATGCTGTGAATAGTTTCATTGCAAGGTAGAAATGCAGTCATAATGGTTGCTTTTTGTTTACAGTGACTCATTTGTCTGTTAGAGGAATTAGCAGTTCACATTCATGATATTGGAGAAATTGTTATGGACTTCCAGGATTCTGTTATATTGCGTACCTTTCTGATCATGAATGGAGATGCTAGAGATTCAAAATTTATGGTAAGAAGCTATGAAACAGTTCTCCATGAACAGACTATGTTAACTGCATAGGAACTTAGAGTAAATACTCGACCCTGAACCAAATTATGTTATGGACTTCCAGCTCCAGGATTCTGTTATATTGCATACCTTCTGATCATGAACAGAAATGCTAGAGAGCAAAAAAAAAATTATGATAGGAAGCTACGAAATGGTTCTCCATGAACAGAGTGTTCTTAGTCCGATGAATTGAGATTCTTGTTGAAAACGAGGTTTTATGCGTATAGGCATGTAAGCTGCCTGTGTTAGATTTTTACCATTCGGAGAGTGACCTGTTAGTGTCCTTTGCTTTCCGCTCCTCCTACAACTCAATTTGTTTGTCTATGATGCCTACATGATGCCTCAAATCTTAAAGTGAACTGATTCACTTTTATCAACTTTGTAACAGGCTGGATTGCAGAGTTTAGTCAGCAGGACGAAGCTCCATTCATAATGAAGTTGCTAGGACTGAACAGCCTCATTAGTCATCACGGAGGCCAGTTGCATTCCTGTTCATATGAGGCGGCGTCTCCAGTCTGTAGCTATGTTATGCAACACAACATTGGCCCAGAAAGCCAACACAACATTGGCAAGCACGACTATGTGGGAGAATGCAAATACTGGGTTGATAGCAAAAAAACCCTTTAGAATTTCCAACTGGCGCCAAAAAGAAACGAGAATCACGAAGCAGAAAAACAAGGAGCACCATGTTTCGTGTTGAAGCAGTTCGCTTTTTCCCATTGCAGCTTGAGCATTGTGCTTGCTATTGCTGGAAAGTTGGTCTGGTTTTCTCTAATCTCCCTACTGCTCACATTCTTAGCATCTAGCGACTGTGAGCTTGTGTTCGCCTTGTCTTGCACATGAATATACTGTAAAGTGTTAACTGAGCTGAACTTATAGGGACTGGAAGTATTCTGACTTCGATAAACTTGGGTTCTACACGGAAGATCCTCTTCTCCATCAAACATTTGATGGGTACAATGTACACACAGTGTAAACTTTTGATCTTTCCATGAATCGAAACCATTCCTAATACCTCTTATACTTTTAGCGTTAACAATTAACGCTGATGTGGCGGTTCTATCATCTGCAACGTAGAGTTTATGTGCTGACAGTTCGGTTGTGAAAAGTCCCAAATTAGTGCAATCCCAATATCCTTTGGGACATAATGATAGAAATAGAGTGCACATCAGCAAATCCGTTGTAGTCTAGTTGGTCAGGATATTCGGCTCTCACCCGAAAGACCCGGGTTCAAGTCCCGGCAACGGAATATTATTTTTCCCCAATTTTATTTATTTCTCTTTACACTGGAAACAACTGGGCCGGGCCGGCAAATTGGCCCAGTTAATTGCTTTCTCCCATCTCTCTCGCTTTACTTTCACTTCCTTGTCCTAACTCCTAACCGAAGGCGGCCGCGGCGACGATATGTTCCCGGCGCCAAAACCCAATTGTTCTTTCGTCAGCACTTTTTCCCGGTGTGTTTGAATCTTCGTTTATCTTCAACTAGGCGGTGCCCAAAGAAAGCGTGAATCAGGTTAGGCGGAGCTCTTCCTAAATAATTTGTGCTTCTTTCTTATCTTCCTGCCGTCTGTTTCTCGCTCGCGTCCCAGTAGGCGGGCGGGGAGATTGGGTTTGTGTTTCCTAGGGTTTTGGTGTCCCTCAATCTGACTAAAATTGGTCGCAGGAGAACCTATTGATTTCTAATTGAAGTTGTATATGTAAAGAAGTAGATCCAATCATGCCTTTTGTTCGCCATGAATTGTTGAATTGTTATGAATGGTGATTGCGATGGAACTGGAACTAAGATTGAGTTGGCAATGGTTTGTGCAGGCAGACAGAGGAAGGCGATAGTGATCGCGAAAACATGGCCGACGAAAGGAGAGCTCACCCTGACTGTATAAATGCGACGAATCCTTACCATGAGTGTGTAGAGTATTGCTTCAAGAAGATTGCAGAAGCTAAGCCTAGAGCAGGTATGGAAGTTTCTTATGCTTGAGAGACCCTTCTTATGAGGGGGTATTAAGATCCTCTTGTTCTTGTTCATCCCAAGTCGATAGTTTTGTCCTTCGGGCATTGTGAATGAATGGATCTGTAGTCTCCTTTTAGTTTGACTGCTCAATTTAACTTCATTGGTGTTTATGCTTATTCACGCTTGGCTATGTGGTTCTGTTCTCATGGTTGTTGACCAATTTGTATCAGAGTTCAAGCAAGCTCAAGCTGGCAATGATCAATCCAATGAAAGGACAGAGAAGCTTGTCGAAAGACCAGATTCTAACGATGATGATGATAGCCACAGTGACAAAAATGACCAAGGTGTGGAGGAATTCCCGGAAGAAGATGTTACTAAACTTACCGGAAGGCGGAAAAAGCTGTACGAGTTGAAGCGTAAGATGGTATAAGTTCTTCTTAACTAAGAATCTTGATTTGATTGTTCCATTAGATGTTCCTTTTGACTGTATGTTCTCACTAACTACCTCTCCTTTTCTCGTCCTCTGATTGTCCTTTTTTTCTGTTTGTAAATCCAGTATGAGGCGAAGAAAGCCAATCAAATGGCAATGGTGGCTGAAAAGAAGAGATTGGAACCTCCTCAAGAGTCTCGAGGTATTTCCAAACAAAAATGGCTCGAGGAGAGGAAGAGGAAGATCGGTAAACTTCTTGATGCAAATGACTTGGACATGACAAAGGCGTATATGCTGGATACGCAAGAGGCAGCAGAAGTCAAATACAAGAAATGGGACAAAGATCCTGCTCCATTTGGTTGGGATGGTAAGTCTGCATTTCTTCTTAGTCACCTTCATTTATGCGTTGATCTTCAATGGGAGTTGAAACTGATTGTACATAATGTTCTACCAGTTTTCAATCAGAAGACTCTGTATAATGCATATAAGAAGAGGACAAAGAATGTTAATGTGGATCTAGAAGAGTATAACAAGATGAAAGAAGCCGATCCTGAGTTCTACCGGGACGCCTCAAGTCTTCAATACGGAAAGGTAATAATCCTCCCTGGAATCTTTTGATTCCCGTTAGATATGATTTTGTAAATAGCGAACAATTATATTTACCTCCTGAAATTGAAAATGACCCCAGGCACCAAAGATCTCAGAGGATAAGGTTGACAGAATGGTGAAGGAACTCAAGGACCGGGATGCGAAGCGCGGATCATTCAGCCGAAGGAGGAGATTCCATGAAGAGAAGGATATCGACTCGATCAACGATCGTAATGAGCACTTCAACAAGAAGATCGAGCGAGCCTTCGGTAAATACACGCTGGAGATTAAGAACAATCTGGAGAGAGGAACTGCACTGCCAGACTAAAACAATGCCTCACTCTCTCAGGGTTGGGGGACTGTTTTGGGTAAGCCTGCACAAGTAGGCTGTTTCTGGGGTTGTTTATGAAATTGAGTGTTCCCTGAACTATAGAATTCAGGGAGTGTGCTTTTCAATTTCCTCAACTGAACGAATGAATACAACCAATCTCCTCTGATGCGTGTATCATAAAGTATCATTGTCACTATTTCTGCACTATTTATTTCCTCATTCGCATTCCAACTTTGAGCAGGAGTTGTAATATATTTCAGAATCTTTCTCCCGATTACCAAATATTTTGTTCTAGGTCCTTTTCGCTTTCAATTCCGCCATGTTTTCTTTGCCAAGTAGGGTTGGACGAAGTTTTGGTCGATCCACTGGAAATTAATGAGGTTGTTGAGTCTCTAGCTACCAGCATTGCCTACCACTTATCTTCATATTACAGTGTGTTGGTGATAGGAGAATCTAGCTATAGTATGCACATGTGGAGGGTTGATCAACTTGTGCAGGTATTGTTGAATCGCCCTCGAAACCAACGTGTCAATCCAACGACGGGGTTGATTCAACATTAGTGTTGATCACTACCACATCAGCATGCTAGCTCAATTGATGATAATAAGGAATGTTGGGATGATTAGAGTCATGTCCTGTGATGGGATCAAAGCAAGCAAGGACATGATGAACCTGCCAGACTCTCTAATGGAGGATGGCAACGGCATCTTTTTCTCTGGTTTCCTTGAGAAGGCCAAACTGTCAACTGCACTGAGGTATGGTTCTGCCAATGGAATGGAGGAGGAGGAGGACCACAAAGGAAAAAGGAGTGGTCCACCCATTCTCAACGGTCAGCACAGGCAGAGGTAGCTAGCTCACTAAATTTACTACTCCATTTCCCTTCGTAACTTCTTTTCCTTTTTTGATTTGGAGCCTTGTTAGCCTTTTTAGTTGGACCGCAACTGCACCCAACTTATAGGCAGAGTGCAAAAGGCAAAAAGGAAGGTGGTGGGGTTTATGCCGCCGAGCCAGGCCAGTAAGTAGCCCACCCTTCACTTCACTAACCCACAGTCCCACACCCCATGCAGTGGGTGTCCTCTTTTAAAAATTAAATTAAATAAAAATAAAATTGTAAATATGAAAATACCTTACTCGTACAGGTTAAAAAAAGTCCATGATGTTTCTCATATTCGAAAATAATTGTAGAATACACTTGGTGTCTATAGTGTTTAAACAAATTGTCTCTATATACAATACTAGACAATCATTCACGAACTTATCGCATATTCGATTTGTAAACTTGTTCTTGATGTAACCCAAAGCTGAAAGACTCTTTAAACACTTGCCGTACAATCATAAAATCAATACAAATTAAGGGTAGTTTGAAATTAGTTTAATTGTTAGGTTTTTAAAATAATTAGAGATAGGGAATGCCATTTTACTATTACACATTGTTCAAAATCGAACAACAAATGAGTTTAGCTCAACGGAAATTAAGTTTATTAATAATAATAGTCTTCTAGATTTAAATTATCCAACCTACCACTTATATTCCTATACACAAATGACAGTAGGATAATCATTTTTTCAAATTTAAGGGGTGTCCCTCACTATCAATTATATTTTTTTTTTGTCCATACGTAAATTACCACCGGGGGTTGGATAATCGTTTCCCCAAAATATAGGGGTGTCCGGGGACACCCCTAAACCCCCTGGGTCCGCCCCTGACCCCATGTGACCGGTTTGGCGGTTTCACCATGCTGCAAAACTCTATATAAAAACGAGAGAGCCTAGTAGTTCTCTAACATTTCTTTTACAGGTTAGCCTACTGGATACTGATCAACTAACGATTCTCTAACAATCACGTTGTGCGCTTTTGTGTCGGTGTTCGGTTTCGCCCATTTTTTATGACGAGAACTCGTCGATTCACACAAATCTTACCATGACGACAACATTCTCAAGGAAGTTTAAATATGAGATCAAATTGATTACAAAATTATTTGTGAATTTTACGCTTTTCTGATGATTATTTTCAATTTTAAACCAGTAAATTATTATAGACACGAAATACATGTAACTCTTTCCTATACTCGTTGTCTGAGAATACAATTGCTTACTTGTGACTCCTTCGGTTTATGGGATGAAATGGATTATCATAACAATGGGGGCCAGCTTTTTTCCCCAAATCAATTGAAAGAAGGAGCAACACTCAAAAGGAGAGGCCAAAAGGAAAGTAAATCCTTGGCCCTTTTCTTTTTTGGTTTAAAGGTGGCATGTGGGTACTCAACTTTCTAATCCATTTGCAAACAAGAAACCCCTATATCAGAAATCCAGAATTGAGGTTGGTTTTTTTAGATTTGAAAAATGAAGAATTTTTCTTTTTTAGAAAAAAAAAAAAGATTTTGGTAGAACTTGGATTCATTATAGACTTGAAAATCACCATTGTTTGTTTCATCATGGATTTTGATAATTAGATTTGTATGTTTGAAGTTAAATGGAATTTATTACCCTCATATGTAGGGGTGTACATGGGTCGATTGGTTCGGGTTTAAGTATTTTAATCACCCGACCCATGCACTACGGTTTGGGAATTATCAAACCCAAACCCACCCAAAAAAATTTAAACCCTACGGTTTGTTTATAATTGGGTTGGGTCGGGTTGGCGATATTTTTAAGTAAAAACCCAACCCAACATAAAATATATAATTATTATACACCATAAAAATATTTTATAACTAATTAAAATTTCAAACAAATAAACCAAGGTGAAAGGTATCAAAATTCACAAATGTTGTTTGAGTTTTAATAAAATGTGATTTACTTCAACATATGTCTAGTTTGTTTCACGATATTTGTTGAAATAGGCTAAAAAGGTTATAAACAAATGCATCCATAATATGTTATTCTATTAAAATTGTATACAAGGAAAATGATTACGTGAATCATAATTATATTCAATTTATGTCTAAAATTTAAGTCGAAGAATGCATTAGATTAGGGAGACCATGATAGAAAAAACATGGCGAAATATCTTAATTTTCACATAAGTATGGCTATATACGACATAAATATTTTTTAGATACGAACTCATACTAATAGTTGGAACACGGGTTGGGTCGGGTTCTACGGGTTGTGTAATCCAAAATCCAAACCCAACCCAAAAGAGGCGGGTTGCACAAAAGAAAACTGTCACCCAACCCAAAACCTTCGTTTTAGCGATAAATACGGGTGGGTTGGGTCGGGTTGGACGGGTGGGTCGGTTTACGGTGTGTTTGTTCACCCCTACTCATACGTATGGAAAAGAAAGGAAATAAAAAGCATACATTGGTCATAAACCAAAGGATTCATGATCAATTCTCACCGAAAGAGATGAGATTTTTAAGTTTGTGGGCCCACAAATTTGGCTCTCAAAATCTGTAGATCCCACAGACTTGTTACCTCTAAATACATCAAATAAACCAAAGGATTTTAGACAAAATTTATGATGGATTCAAATCCATCACTAAATCCATCAAGCAAACAACGCTTAAAGACTATCCAACGACACCTCTTCTCTCTTCTTCTTTGTTTCTGGACTTGGATCTCTCTCTTCTAACCTGTTGGGATCACTCCTGGCGATCCTTGGGTGATGGAGTTGGTCTCTGTTTGTGTTATCTGTCTTGTTCTAAATCTAATTAGTAATTAATCATTTCACCCTTGTAAAAAAAATGGCTTAACATGCTCTGGTTTGCTTTTCGCCGATCCCTTGTGGATTCTTTCCATGCTCTGGTCTGTTTTTTCAGATTTGGAAACTTTTTGTCTCGGAGTACAAAGGAGTTGTTGTCTTGTATAGCTTCAACTGTTCTTCATTTATCCATCCCTCCTGTCTACCTCCTTGTTTCTTGCAATAGATCGTGAGATCCGGAGATGTTGTAGTCGTTTCTTGTTTCGGCTCGGACTCGGTGTGGATTCTTGAAGACGGAGAAGCCTTGCTCGTGATTGTTGTTGATTGTCGGTTGTTTCTCTGCTTCTGATCTTCATCACTAGGTGAAATTCTGCAGGGACATCTCTGTTGATGGATGGTGGGCTTCTTTCACCCTCCTTTGGAATGATCAGCTTGGGACACGTTCCTCTCGGCTTTCGCTCTTGAAGTCGTTTTGTTGAAAGGCGGCTTTTCCTGGTCTAGGTCTCTGAGTGAAGTTGCGGGTGACGATGGTATTCCAGGCTTTGGCGGCATGGCAAGGTTGCAATGGCAACTAGGGTTTTGATTTGTCTTCTTTGGGCTCTCTGTGTTATGTGTGGCACTTGGGCTTTTCCGATGGGCTTTTCAATTGCTTATATGTATTGTTGTTCTCTTCATTTGGGCTTGCCCATACTTTGTACTCCTTCCTAGTTTTAATGAAACTGATTTCGTAAAAAAAAAAAAAAGCAGAGGATACATTACAAGTACTGAATTCTTTTTTTTTTTTTGACAAAGAAGGTGCTTATATTTCACTCCAACAGAAACTCGGTTACAACGAAAGGGATACACCCTGAAAATCAACAACAAGAAAGAGATCCACCAGTACAAAGAAAATGGAGAGAGAAGGCCCAGAAGCAAACAGAAGGGCGACCCAACAACAACATGAACAGAAAGACAGGGGAACCCTTTTCATGAGCCGAAAACAGAGGATCCAGCAACCATTGTAATCGCATCAAACAGAGTGAGACACAGCAGAACATCAGCTCGCCCAAACCCAGCCTTGACCATGGAAATTGAGCAAAGCAACACCATATGCCGCCTTCTGGGGGTAGTTCAAAGACACCCATCACAGTGAATCGCCGACGAGGGATTGCGCGGCGGTGGACAGGACTGAGATCGGATTGCTCAGAGCTGAAAAACGGCAACCGGGACTGGAACGGAGAGAACCATGAAACAGCAGGGAAGAGATGCATCTAAGGGTTGAACTTGAACCGACCAGAAGAAAAGAGCCACAAGCAAAGGAAAGGAGAAAAGAGCAGAACCAACCAGAGGAAACGATCTGAAGAGACAAACACCAACAGAGAAAACCCAGAACCCAAAGCAGCAGACCCAACAACAACCCCAACACCCAAACAAATCAACCCAAGCTGAATCTCAGAACTACGACAACAATGGTGCAGCCGCCTCAGCAACAAGAGGAGACTCCTCTTCCACAACAGCCAATCGACGCACCGAGGAACGACGACGGGAGGGGAATCGGTGAATGCAATCATCCTATAAGATGACCGCACCAAACTTGGGTAGAAACCCAGTTTGCATCCTCCGAACCCAGAACAGAGCAGAGCCAAACCAAATCTTGAAGATCTGGAGCAGAATCCGGACAAAACCTCCTCAATTAAGAGGGATGTGGACAATCCCACTTAGGGGAAGGGAAAACGCCATTACGGTTGGAAAAAGCCAAGGAAGGCCAGGAAAAACAGCTGAAAACGAAAGAGGAAGCAGAGGAAGAATAGAACAGCAGCAGGAAAGAAGAGAAAAATTGGGCTACCGCCGGTCACCCAGACGTGCCAGCGGCAGCCCTAACGGGAGGAAGCTGAAGAGGTAGAGAGAGGGCAGAGAGAATTTGAAAAGTTGAAACAAGAGAGAGAAGCTCAGTTTACTGAATTTTAGAAAGTTGAGAAAAACCAACGTTCCAAGAAGCTCCCAGCTGCCTCTTAATGGGCCCCGTGAACATCAGGCCTGTAGGCCCACGCCAGCTCACAACGATACTCTATGGGGAAAATGGAATTGACCATTCAGGAAAAGAAAGAGAGCCCAATTATTGTTTTACCCAGCCCAAAGCATCTATTAAAATGCCTCAACTCCCTCGACCTGCCACATTTCCCAATTCTGCCCAAACCAATTGTAACCGGGTTCCTCTCATCCCTGTCCTTTTCCCCCCTCTTCTCTCTCTCTCTCCTTGGTCCTTTCTAACTACTGTAACGTTACCACACTTACCGAGCTCAGAGTAAATAGGTTTCTTCACATACAAAAAAACAAGGCAAAGTAAAACCCTAACCAGATTATGAAGTGTAGAGAAAGGGAGTTTCAAAAGAAAAGAGGATCCATCCGTCCCTCCATCCATCCAACCCATTTCATTACATCCATCCATCATCCCCAAATAGTAGCGATAACAAACATCATCATCATTCACCATCAATCATGGAAACTAACTCTCTCACATACACACCAACGATAAAAACAAATGGCGGATTTTAAACATAATTAACAAGGGAGGGGGGGGAGAGAAGAAGAAAAGACAGGAGAAGCTCTGTTCAGGGAGCTCTCTGCTTGGCTAGGGGGTTGCTTTCTCGGTTTCACGCTTCTAGTTGGTAGGGTTGCTGCGGAAAGATCCCAAAGCTTTAATGGCCGCCGCCCTCAGAATATACTGGTGGTATGCTGCTGCTGCAAGTGCTCCCACGAATGGTCCGACCCAGAACACCCACTGCCCCCACAAAACCAAAACCACATTAAGCAAACCCTAAACCCCAAAACAGAGTCGAAATTTAATAAGGTAGCTAGACTGTAGACTTACATGGTCATCCCAGATCTTGTCGTTGTTGAAGATCACAGCTGCGCCGAAGCTCCTAGCCGGGTTGATTCCAGTTCCAGTGATGGGGATGGTGGCCAAGTGAACCATGAACACTGCAAACCCAATAGGCAGAGGAGCCAGCACCTACAACAGTAAACCAAAACACAAACCGAAATCAGTGTCCGAACTCTTGAAAATTGAAATCCCATTACACAAAAATGTTAAGAAACAGAGGATTTTAACTACTTACAGGGACGTGGGAGTCACGGGCGCTTCTCTTGGGGTCAGTGGCGGAGAAGACGGTGTAGACAAGCACAAATGTCCCAATAATCTCGGCCCCCAAAGCTGTCCCTGTGCTGTAGCCAGGAGCAATGGAGTTAGCCCCACCGCCAAGGCTGTTGTAAGGGTGCTTCATGAAAGCCTTGACCAGCCCAACACCGCAGATGGCGCCCAAGCACTGCGCCACCATGTATGACACAGCTCGAATCAAGGACACTTTCCTCGCCAGGAACAGCCCAAAAGTCACTGCTGGGTTGATATGCCCACCTGAAAACACACACACAAACAAAGCAATTTCAGATTTTTACCGCAACCCATTACTCTACGTAACCAAACCAGAAATGGGTAACATTTTGTTCACTCAAACTATTTCCAAAAAAATAAGAAAACGGCTTGTACGGTTAATCTGCTTACCAGAGATACCGGCGGTGCAGTAGACAAGGATGAAGATCATGCCGCCGAAAGCCCAAGCGATGCCCAAAAGCCCAACCCCGCCACACGGGTCGGTCTGCTTCTTGTGCCCAATCACGGTGGCGACGGTGACATAAAGGAAGAGGAGGGTGGCGATGAACTCAGCTATGAGAGCCCTGTAGAAAGACCAGAGCTTGATCTCGGCGAAATCCAACAATGGTGCTGGCGGTGGGTCTACGTAGTCCTTTCCGTGGTGGTGGGCTTGGGGTTCCTCGCTCACTTCCTTCGACATGGCTGCCTGAAGTCGAGAGTGCGAAACAGAGGAGTGATGAAGGAGTAATGTAATGGAACTTTTCAGAGAGCGGGTTAGTGGAAGGCTAGTGGTACTGCGGATGCTTTATATAAAGGAAAAACAGAGGATTAGAAATGCCAGAGGAAGGAAGGGTATGGATAAGCCAGGGGTATTTTGGGGAGGACAAGTGAAAAAGAATTGGGCTATTGGAAAAGGGGGTTGGACCAAGAAGAGACTAGAGAGAGAAAGAGAGAGTGGGCCAGGGGGGTTTACAGATAGACCCATGTGAGAGCTCATCATCTTTCTTGAGAGAGGGTCCAAAAGAGGTCAGCCTGGCAATGGCATCCAACCAAAACCAGAAAAAGTCACTCCTATTTCACCAACGGTTATTTCTTGTCTTTCTTTAGCTGAAGGAATAGTAACTTTTCTTCCTTTTTTACCTTGGGAAAAGTTGGCCACTCTCTTTTAACCACTTTCCCTTCTTTTCATGTCTTTCTTTCACATTTTTACTGTTTGGTTACCCTCCTTTATGTGACTCTCATTGCATGGTGAATTTGTGATTTTACCTAAAGTGTCAAGAGGGTGCGTTTTGGTTAACGTGACTAATGACTTGGAAGACAACAAAGGACCTCACTTCAAGATAAAAATGGGGGGAAATGACAGGATGAAGTTACTTTTGCCACTAATGAGTAATGATGTGCTTCTCCTTTTGCTAGTTGCTGCTTTAAGCATGCATGTTAAACTAATCATAATTAAGATCAAAGTTTCAGTTTTGGATGGTCTGAAAAAGCTCAATATGTATCTTGTCAAATTCTGCTTTCATTGCCAAATGTACGTGATAATGTTATTTATGCAAAGGAAATATAGCCCTTTTTCTTATAAAATGTTTTAATCTCTCGTACGTATTTGTGAATATATCTTATATTTTTAATATTGTTAAAGACTACGCAAAATTTGAACAGTTAGGAATATTAGAACTGATGGTACAGATCATATAATAATATTGACAGCAACAAACTCATCAGGCACCAACAGATGGTGGGAGGATAGAGTGTCAAACATTGGCCAACTTCTGGGAAAAGATCATATTTGTTGTTCAATGTATCTATCCTCGAAGTACAACCTCATTGGATGCAAGGTCATATGCTAGCAAAGATTGAGGAAGGACGTAGATACTAGATAACACTTCCCTGCATATAATGTCACCTCCTCATCCCCATAAATACGGGAAATTGTCATGCCGTATTTAGACGACTTCACTCTCTCGTAGTAGAAACGCACATGTAATTGTAGCTCTCTAACAATATTATCGGATGCTCAAGATAAGTGTTCCTCTTAACCTCCACCCAACAGTGTCACTCGTGACCTGGACCCAATCCTAGTGGTTGGAACATTAGGGCAGGGACACAAAGCATTAGAATGTGACATGTTCTTCTTCCAACAAGAACTACTAGCTAGCCAGCCCTTGCATGCATCAATCCAAGCTGTACTCCTTATCAGAAGAATGATAGCAGTATTGATTGTGTCCCTCGAATATAATCCACTTATTACCAATAAATAGTATTTTCCCTCATAATTAAACGAAACAATAATAGCACATGTGCTCAAATATTACTATATATAAGATAGGAATGGATATCATTAAAATTCATAAAGAAGATGGTACTGGAGAGAAGACATTCTCTGGAATGGAAAGTTCCACTTTCGTCCCTTACCGTTGCGCATCATTGTTCTCTTCTAATAAATAACGACTAGAAGGTTCTTTGTCTACGTTTCTAGTCCCCATACTATACAGAATTTGCAAACAAGCTTCCCGAACAACCTATTTTCCGCATAAGTACATTATCAAGGACTTGGATTAACGATGATAAATTGATAATCACAGGATTAGCGATGGGCGGGGGCCACAAATTTGATAGAAAACGACACCGAATCGGGGTCACATGTTTGACAGCCTGGCATTGTCCATTGCTGCTCTGTTCCTTGCTAACATTACGCTTTCTCCGACCCTACCATCCACCGTCCGGCTTCCCTCTCCGCCTTGACGTCACCTTCCGTCCGAGTCCCGTTCGGCCCGTCGCCGTCGCAACAACGACAACACCAGCGGATTTCTTCAGCTGCCCTGTAGTAGTCCGACACGTGTAACCGGACCCGCAGCTCGAGAAACCGCCCCCCTGAGAGTTCCAGAGGCTTCTGTGGCGGTGATATAATAAAGCAATAGCCGTTAGGGAAATGGCCAAAAAAAAAAAAAGGAAAAAAAGGGACTACCCGAAAACGACGCCCATGTTGTATATCTGTCGCCGCAAAACTGCGTTATCGCGAATGCTCTTTAATTAACACTCGCCCATCCCCCACCAACGTTGGTTGATCCATTTGTGCCGTTGGAGAAGGAAGAAGATGAAGAAGAAGATCGATATGGGTAGGTATGGTTGGTTCTAATTTGATAGAGAAACATTCAGCTGGAAATTGAAAAAATATATATACATATCAAAGACTGTATTTGTTTCTTCCCTTATAATCTCTCTATTTTGTTTCTATGTTTGTGTTATGCGAGAAGGATGAGTCACTTTCAGTATCTGCTGGCCCTGAACTGGTGAATTGCTCTCAGCTCTGCAGTCTGCAGAGTGCAGAGCCTTACCCTCGCAGTAAATTTTGATCACCAAAAACTAAAAAGGCTCCATGAAAAGGATAAAGTAGAGAAATAGCAAGACCATCCCCAATTAACTAGTGTTACTATAATGTTATGTTAGAAAGAGAGGGAAGAGGGTATTTGTACGAAAGCCCGAGACCGGGTGACTAGGATTGTGATAGAGTCGTGAACAAAGTTCACTTTTCGTAAAGAATATTTCCACCCTCCGATAGCCTAGGGTTACAGGAAATTTCTTCGTAGGATAAAACTACCACCACTTTAGAATCTAGGCTTAAGAAACTAAAGCACACTTAGAAGCTTTTTGATGGAAGAAGAATGAATAATTTTTGATGTTTTGGTGTCACTGTTCACCATCCGACCATGCATTATTTATAGCTTCCATTTTGAAACAACGTTGCGGTTCATAACCAACCGCCATGTTTCTGAAACTTTGCATCGTTTCGGAAATGGTTTCCACCCATTCGTTACTATCCATTTATCTCATGCAAAAGGCAGCATGTCTTTTTCTTTGTCAAACGTTGCATGGCTTGGCAAAGAGTCGTGTCCTTTAATTGAAAAAAAATGGACAGACGCATGGATCCATTATAAACAAATGAAGTGATCAGTTAGTTGGTTTTCTTGGCGTAGCCAAATTTCCAACATGAGAGAGGGGACATGTCTTTTTGTTCATTCAAATTCCACTCATTTAATTAACCACGTGGAGACAAAATGAAGTTGGCTAATTCAAATTAAATGGAAGTTGGCTTGGTTCATGAACAGACTCACCTGTTCAATTATTAACCAATTCTTTCCATGTAATTTTCCAACATTCCTCCCCCATTTTAGTGTATTTGAAGAATCCACTAAAATTACAACAATCAAAATTCTTCCAATAAAACTAAAGCGTAAATGAAAATGTCGTAACGATTGAATTTTCATCTTAGTATATTACACTTGACAAATATTCGAATACAAGGGGTGTCGGTAACGATTGAACCCGTTGACTCATATGAATATCTGAAGATAATATACACTTAAGTTTTACAAACTTCCAAGTGACCTTGACACTATTATCCGCCATGTGTCCAATCCTTCTCGTAAGCGCACACGAAACCAAAGTCCGGGTTTCTTGAAGCGGCTGCACTTCATGTTTACATAGGTTGAATCCTTTTTTTTGTGTACCTGCATAATACACTTTGTCAAAGACTCAATTAAGAAGTTTTAAACTTCATCCTCTTCTCTCATGCAGGATATCAAGCACATACCTCGGGATGATGCATTGCGTGCTTCAATTTCTGATAATGAGCTTTCCTCATTGAATTCAGCCTCTAACGTTGTATTAGAGGGGAATTGGGTGTCCCATGATCAGAAATTATAAGGACTTTAAACCCATCCCTTTCACAGACTTGACTACCAAGTCTCTAGCTAACCCTTTCGTCAAATGATCAGCTAAATTCTCTTGAGTCCGGACATACTGTAAAGACACAACTCCGTGAGTGATCAATTCACGAATTTTACTATGTCTTACTCCCAAATGGCGAGACTTGCCATTATACATTTGACTATATGCCTTAGCCAAAGTAGCATTACTATCACAAAGGATAGAAATTGGTGAGATTGGTTTAGGCCATAAAGGGATGTCATAAACCAAATCTCTCAACCACTCTGCCTCTCCTCCGGCAGAAGCCAAGGCCACAAATTCTGACTCCATAGTGGAACTTGTGATGCAAGTTTGCTTTTTAGAAGCCCAAGAGATAGCACCTCCCCCAAGCAAAAAAACCCATCCTGAAGTTGAAGTATGATCTTGAACATCAGAAATCCAACTAGCATCAGTATAGCCTTCCAAGATAGATGGAAATCCACTATAAGTCAAAGCATAATGCATTGTGCCTTTGAGATATCCTAGTACACGTCTCACTGCATGCCAATGATGAGCACTAGGATTACTCGTATACCGACTTAATTGTCCTACCGCATATGCGATATCTGGTCTTGTACAAGTCATTGCATACGTCAAACTCCCGATAACCTTGGAGTATTCCATTTGTGAAACAGGTTCCCCAGTATTAGGAAAAAGTTTCATACTTGGATCCATTGGGGTTTTTAATTCACGACAAACTTCACTATGAAATTTATCAAGTACCTTCTCAATGTAATGAGATTGAGTCAAAGCTACTTCCTTGCCGTTCCGCTTGATCTTGATACCCAGAATCACATCTGCCTCCCCCATGTCCTTCATGGAGAATTTAGATGACAAAAACTCCTTAGTGAGGTCCACTTGTCTTTGATTGGTACCAAAGATAAGCATGTCATCTACATACAAACATATGATGACTCCATTACCAGAATCATCAAATTTTGTATATACACATTTGTCAGCTTGGTTTAACTTAAAACCACTAGACAAAACCACCTCATCAAACTTTTGATGCCATTGTTTTGGAGCTTGTTTAAGCCCATACAATGATTTGATCAATTTGCACACTTTATGCTCTTGACCGGGTACAACAAATCCTTCAGGTTGTTTCATGTAAATCTCTTCATCCAAATCTCCATTCAAGAAAGCTGTCTTGACATCCATTTGATGGATAATTAGATTGTGAATTGACGCAAGAGCAATCAACAATCTAATGGTGGACATTCGAGCAACAGGCGCGTAAGTATCAAAGTAATCAATCCCATGTTTTTGTCTAAAACCTTGGATTACCAAACGCGTCTTAAACTTGTCGATGGTCCCATCTACTCTTCTTTTCTTTTTGAAGATCCATTTATTACCCAAAGGTTTGCATCCAGGCGGTAAATCTACCAACACCCATGTGTTGTTCGCCATGATGGAATCTTTTTCATCATTAATAGCTTCCTTCCAAAAAGCAGCGTCACGAGACTTCATAGCCTCATCAAAAGTTTTAGGATCATCCTCAATATTAAATGAATATAAATATTGAGAGTGTACTTCCTCTCTAGACCCTTCCACAAGATACATGTGAAAGTCTGGTCCGAAAGATTTTGCAATCTTTCTTCTTTTACTCTGACGAAGAATGGGTAAATTCGATTGCGAAGCATCTTCCTCAATCCCCTCATTGACATGAGGAACTATGTCTTTTGGTCGTTGCATTGATGAAAATCGATTTTCATCAAATATGGCATCTCTTGACTCAATTATAGAATGAATTGAGTAAGCGTCATTTTGTTCTATAACATAGAACCGGTATGCTTTAGAATTTTCAGCATATCCTACAAAGATACAATCAATGCCTCTTTCTCCTAACGTCTTCCTTTTAGGATCCGTTAGTCGCACGACTGCCCGACAACCCCAAACTCGAAGATACTCCAAATTTGGCTTTCGTTTATACCATAGTTCATAGGGGGTAGTAACGTTCCTTTTATTGGGAACCCTATTTAATAAATAGCAAGCCGTTAGCATAGCTTCCCCCCAAAACCCATTACTCAAACCAGAGTAAGAGAGCATGGAATTGACCATTTCCTTTAGAGAGCGATTTTTCCTCTCCGCTATCCCATTTTGTTGAGGGGTAAATGGTGCAGAGGTCTCATGTATGATCCCCATACTTTGGAAGTAAGCCGGATCATAGTATTCACCACCTCGATCCGTGCGCAAAGTTTTGATCTTTGCTTCTTGTTGTAACTCCACTTCAGTTTTATATATACTAAAGCGACTAAGGGCTTCATCCTTAGTTTGCAACAAGTACACATAGCAAAACCTCGAATAGTCATCAATAAAGGTGATCACATATTTCTTCCCTCCTAAGGTAGGAGTGCCATGTAAGTCACATAGATCACTATGTACAAGTCCAAGCACCTTGGACTCCCTTTGCACATTCTTAAACGGCTCTCTAGTGATTTTTGTCAACATACAAGTTTTACACTTATCATGTTGAGCATCAAAAGAAGGAAGAAGTCCTTCTTTAGACATAGTCATCATTCGATTATAATTCACATGCCCCAACCGTGCATGCCATAAAGACGAATCAATAAGGGTAGACATGTAAGCGAAAACAATATTATTAATTTTATTAATAATATTCAACATAAACATACCATTATTATAATAGCCAAATCCAACAAACACTCCGGATTTAGATAATACATATCTATCAGAGTCATAAACTTGACGATATCCAAGTTTATTTAGTATACTTCCAGAAACCAAATTTTTTCTAATCTTAGGTACATGTAACACATCCCTAAGTACAAGAATCTTTCCGGAAGTAAATTCCAACTCTACGGTGCCACGTCCTTCGACTGGAGCAGTTGACTCATTGCCCATGTGGAGAACACAAGCGTCTTCCACTGGTTTGTAAGTTTTGAACCATTTGCGATCCTTGCTTACGTGTATGTTAGCTCCAGAGTCCACCCACCAAGCAACATCATCATCCTGTACAAAATATGCTTCATTAATTAGTGAAACATAATTCATACCCAAATTTGGATCAAAATCAAAATCAAAAGTGGGAATACGACCTTGTGGGCCTTGATCGTTAGATCCTTGCCCAACATGACGATTGCCATTATTCTTTGATTTTTCCTTGGGACAATCACGCTTGA